CCCCCACCCTGCGTCCCAGGAAATCCCTCTGGACCAGGTGGACATAGACAAGGAGAGCGAGATGCTCGTCACCGTGGCGCACTTCCACAAGGAGGTGTTCGGGACGTTCGGGATTCCGTTTCTGCTGAGGATCCACCAGGTGAGGCCGGGGAGGTAGGCTGAGGGCCGCCGCCAGACATGAGATCCCGCGGCGCCACGCCGGGGCTCCCGCCGCGGGGGAGTGCGCACACGTGTCCTTTACCCTTCGTAGGGCGAGCATTTCAGAGAAGTCATGAAGCGGATTCAGAGTCTGCTGGACATCCAGGAAAAGGAGTTTGAAAAGGTAGGCAGGACTCCCGGGCTGCACGCCGAAATCCTGGCTCCCGCGGCGGCCGGACTTTGGCCGGAGGGGGGGTTTGCTGGCCCCCAGGGCTCACGCAGGAGCGGCCCTTCTGTCTTTCAGTTCAAATTTGCCATTGTGATGATGGGCCGACATCAGTACATCAACGAGGATGAGTATGAAGTGAACCTGAAAGACTTTGAGCCCCAGCCTGGTAAGAGCCCTCCCGTGGTCAGAGACGCGGGCGGCCCTGGGTCCCAGTTCCTTCTGCGAGGCAGGGAGGCACAGCGCGTGACCCATGGGTTCCTCTAAGACGCATTCAGGGTTGGCGTGTCGGTGGCTCTCCAGCGTGTGCTGGGAAGTGGGGGGGGAGGGGGGCATTGCGCTGGGTTCGGTCCGCTTCCTCGCCGTCTAGCCTCAGCCCTCAGCCCTGTGTCTCTCTCTCTCTCCGCCAGGTAACATGTCTCACCCTCGGCCTTGGCTAGGGCTTGACCACTTCAACAAAGCCCCAAAGAGGAGTCGCTACACCTACCTGGAAAAGGCCATTAAAATCCATAACTGACTTCCTCACCCAGTGCGTGCGAGGCGAGGGGCCGTGCGTGGGTGTGTGCCCCTTTTTAACAGCCTAGAACTTTGGTACACGTGCACCATCTGAAGTCTTCAGCAAGAGGATTTGCTGCTGATGTTAATTTTATTTTGTTGAGGCTGTTCCGTTTGGCTTCTCTGTATCTATTGACTGCCCTTTTTGAGCAAAATGAAGGTGTTTTTATAAAGCTTGGATGCCAATGAGAGTTATTTTATGGTAACCACAGCGCAAGGCAACCGTCAGCGTAACGGGGGAGAAGAGGTGAGGGCCACGCGGCTCCGGCTCGAGGCCTCTGGGCTGTGTCCAGTCGGCAGAGGCCTGCCCGGCTGCCTTCCTGGGGTCGCGGGCGCCAGCCCCGCAGCTGGTCTTACGTTGAGGCTCGTCTGACGTTTTCCCCTCAGTTCTACTTTCCAACCTTTTGTGTGCATCTGTAAAGCAAAACCGAGAAACTCACAACCTAATAAATAGAGCTCTTTCCTTCACTGCGTGTACTGTCCCCCTTCCTCGGTCCCCCTCCCCCGCCCCCCGCTGCCCGGGTCTCTCGGTAAACGCGTCTCAGTCCGTCAGCCGCTACCGTCCTTCAGCCCGTGTGCAGCGTGGACGCCCCCGAGTGTGAGCACGGTCCTGGCGGATGGTCCGGGCCCCTTTGGTTCGCTTGAAAACGCTGTTTGATACAATTGAGGTGTCAGGCGTGCTGCCTGTGGGCAGACTGACTCCACAATCTCAGCAGTTCATACAAGCAGGTGAAAGAATTCTCAGTGGAGTTTCCTCGGAATGGAACAGACGGAACAAGAAAAGGAGAGCCTTTTAGCAAAGAGGGCATGCTCACTAGTGGTCAGTACGCTGTTGACTTTGTAAAAAAAAAAAAAACAAAAAAACGAAAAAAAAAAAACAAAAGAAAAATAAAAACAAAAAAAAGAAAAAAAACAGAGAAATGAAATTGTATATTTAATGAGTGAACATGTATAATTCACCGCTGGGAGGAGGTGACTTTTTGTTGGGTGCATCTAAGTGACTCTTCACTGATGTTGATATTCATTGTGTGTAGTTTTATTTCAGTCCCAGCCTCGTTTCCTCTTATTTTGGAGCTAATGCCGGCTGCGTGTCTAGTTTTGAGTGCAGTAAAATAGAATCAGCAGATCACACTTAATTTTTCATCCTTTCCCAGGATTTTCCTTTCTTTCTGTAGCATCAGTGTATACCAACTCTTCCTGTATATTGCCTTTTTGCTGGAAAATGTTGTATGTTGAATAAAATTTTCTATAAAAACTGGAAATCAGTGAGTGACGTGCAGGTCGAGGGGAGACTTCTGCTCCCCCTGGAGGTCTGTGTTCCCCCTGCTGTCGGGGTTGCTCGTGGATAGTCCTGGTCATCCGGGGGTTGGATTTCGCCTCTTCCAGGTCATGGTCAAGCTCGAGCAGTGGAAGGTTTCCCGGGAGGAAACCGTTGCCCACATCTGAGGACCAGAAGCATGCCGGAGCCAGCCCGGCACGACTTTGTCTGCAGGTTTCCATGGCCCCGTGCGCGTCTCCGCCCCCCGGGACCTGCCCTCTCCTCGCCCTAAGAGAGTGGAATCTGGGCCGGCCAGCGAGGCTTTTTCACCGTGTGTTTGACTCTGAGCATGAAAGAGTTGGTCTTTTGTTTGAGGTTTGGCCGTGGGTGGGCTCTAGTAGGATAGCTGGATCGGTGTTCTCCCTTCAGTTACCGAGTGACTGCCTGTCGGAAAGACTGGTGATGTGGACATACGCTACGCTTTTGCCTCTCCGTTCCCTCCGAGCTACAGGGTTCGGCGTCTGAGCTCCTGAAACTGATTTTGGGGCACGGGGTGGAACCCAGCCTTTCAAACAGCTCGCTCTAAGCCCTGAGGACGTTCCCATCTATTGACAGCCATCAGAGTTCGCAGAAGGATGGGTCCCTTGGGAACCATAATGCGACCGGAATGAGGGGCATGGCCATCGCACGTGACCCGTACGCGGGAGCCGTGTGCAGAGAAAAATTCGAGCGTCTCAGGGTACGGCGCGTGCCATTTTCTGTAACGGCTGTTCTTTGTAGGCAGCCATGCCCTTCCCGCTGGGGGACCAGTCGCCTTTCTCTAAGAACTTCCAAGTCTGCTGCCTCGGGGACCCTCACTTCCAGCAGGAAGGGGTGCACGTCTCCTGCGTGTTGCCAGAGCGGTAAAAAGCGGAGTCTTGTGTGCACGGCGCTGAGAAGTGTGGCTTTGGTGCTTTGGTGCGTGACACCATGCTGGGGTGAGGCCCCCCACAGCGTGAGTCCGTCAGGGTGGGGGACCCCAGACCGGATCCCTGGGATTGCGTGGTGGATCCTCGTCCGGGGCTCCCCCCCCTGCATGGCTCTGTGCTTGTTCGGAGGCACGCGGTCGTGGTCTGCTTGTTTAAGATGGGGACACATGAGCGTCGTGCTGGAGTCCCCAGCGAGAAGCCGCGGCGTGGGACAAGATGGCTCCGGGGGCCCCGTGGTGGTCTCGGGGACAGTTACTGAGCTCTGCTGCTGGAGCCTGGTAGCAGCCTTGTGCCATACCTGAGCAGGTGAGCGCGGCGGCATCCGGGGCACGAGTCCAGGGGGGAAGGAGCCGTCGGGGGAGAGGCTGCGTGAGCACGAGCCCGGGGCCAGGCCTTGCCTGAAAACACTGCCAACGTGGACACGCACTTCGGACGTCAGCATGCCGGAACCAAGGGCCCCATGGACTTCTGTGTGGGGCTCCCGCCTTTCCCTCCGTCTTGCCGTTTCTGTCCTGGCCCGGCCCTGTCCAAGAGCGCCTCCTGCCACGGCAGAAGGTTCTGTGCGTGGCCCAGTGGGGTAGCCGCAGCCACGCATCCCTGCCAGACGCCCGAGATGTGCCGAAGCAGCTGAGGGGGCGGATTCGTAATTTCACTTAAGTAGCCGCGTGCGGCCAAGCGTCTACCCTGTTGGAGAAAGCCGCTCTAAGCTGATTTTCCTCCCGTTCGTTAGGGGTCGTTCCGGTGACTGGCTCACGCGGAGCCTGGACTTAACGTAGAAAACCGTGGCAGGTTTTCCTGGCCTTTTCTTGCTGGATCCATTTACCGGATGGGAGCAAAGTCAAAGACCAAGCTTCCTGAGGCCTTTGCCTTGTCCCCGGGGGAAGCAGAGCCTGTGCGGACCTGTCCTTCTCGCCTTTATCTTTGAGTGAGGCTTTGAAGCCAGGCCCTCCGGGGTTTTAAGAGCGGTCCGGGCAAGACGCAGGGAGGGCCCCCACGCGTCTGACCCGCCGAAGTATGGGTGGATCCAGGAGTGGGCCTGTGGGTGCTGACGCCTCGATCTGGCCGCAGTCGGTTCATGTTCACAGACGTGATCGGATGTTGGGAGGGAAAGCCACACCCCAGCCCCCACGGTGCCCATCTGCCCGCTTTGCCGGCACCGAAGAGCCTGTCCCTTCAGGCTCGCTTTGCAAAGTCCGCCTTGCGTCAGGCAGGCGGCACAGACGCGTTTGAGCCACGTCTGCGGCCGGTTTCAGCCTGCGGCCTCTCCATACCGCCACCGCCTCTGGCCCTCCTTGCCCCTGCGCGCACAGCACGACTTAGCCTGGGTGCCCGTGGCCCCCCCAAGTGCTCCAGGCTCCCTCCCGACTAAGGCCAAGAAGCCCCACGCCCTGCGGCCTGGTCCTGGGATAAGGCGGCGGGGGGGGGGGTCCCCGTCCCGTCTCTGGGCTTTAGCCTTGATTGGGGGCGAAGGAAGCTAAGAAAACTCAGGCGCTCTTGTAACGACCCTCACCGTTGACTGTGCCCTGCTGCCTCTGGGCCGCCCGGAGTAGCCAGGGGACTTCGGCAGTTTGTGCCGCCTGGCTGGGCTCTGGGCTTGCCTGCTGGAGAGCGGGCCTCAAGACCCAGACTCTGCCGGCCTCAGCGTCCTGCTTTCCAGGCCCTCCCAGCTGGCCGTCCTGGGTGGAAGGAACGGGGCTGTGGGATACCAGGCTGGGGCCTCCCTCTGGGCCCTGGGCCCTTCCAGCCATGCCGCCCAGGTGGCCCTCCGGGAAAGGTGTGCCCTGGGAGAGTGAGGCCTCCGGGCCCCACACCCCAGCCTGGCCTTCAGCGAGATCTCGGAACAGGAGTGTGGCTGGGGGGGCTCCCGTTAAGGCGGCGAGTGTGGAGGCCCTGGGAACACGGGGCCAGTGGGGAGAGGTGAGGCGCAGTCACACAGCACTTAGCCCAACAGTTGCTGGAGGGTGCCGTGCGGCTGAACCATCATAGGTTTGGTTTTTATTTTTTTACTATTTTTTTTTTAACATTGATTCATTTTTGAGACTGAGAGAGACCTGAGCATGAGCGGGGGAGGGGCAGAGAGGGAAGACACAGAATCCCAAGCAGGCTCCAGGCTCTGAGCCATCAGCACAGAGCCCGACGCGGGGCTCGAACTCACAGACCACAAGATCATGACCTGCACCGAGTTGGATGCCCAACCGACTGAGCCACCCAGGGGTCCCTCAT